GGCTAATTTTCCATAGTCCCTACACCCACCCCACCCACGAAAGGAATAAAGTTCTGACTGGCTTTAGAACACTCCACAACCTGCCTTGCCCTTACCTCCCATGGATCCCTCACGGGTACTGCCTCACTGACGCCATCCCCAAGCAGGCAGGAACTGCCCTTGTCCTTGCTCTCCACTCCAGCCCCTGCAGACACATCTGGACACCTTTTCTGGCTAAATCCACTTACCACCACCCAGATGAATATAGGATCTGCCTCCCTGGGAGATTCCAGCCCACCATGGGTGTCCTGTCCTTGACTCCAGCAGCAAGTCAGTCTGTGTTCAGCACCGACCTCTCTGAGGCAGTCTCTGCTGGGTCAGCTCCTAGAACATGCCCTATACTTTCATCCTCTAAACTATCTAAGGTATCTAGTTCATGATAACCCTGAGCTATAAGCTGTCCCTCCTTGCCTTCCCTATCTTCACGGTATAGGCCTAGAGACTCCTGATTAGAGAAGTGAGGTGAGGCGCTCGTATGGCACAGCCCTTTTTGGAGTGACAGGAAGGCAAGCACCCATCACTCTCAGGGTCTTTCCAGGCCAAAAATCTCCATAGCCTGAGGCCTGGAGCATGCCTCTGCTCATTCATTCATAGTTGATTTTTATCATTCTAATAATTCATAATTACCACACTGGGAAACCTGCCTCAGATACTTTTCTCCCGCAGCTACACCGACTGTACATTTTTCTGTCCCCTATCACCACCCACAGCCCCAATTACTGGGGACGTGGTCTGGCAGCCCTCAACCAGGACACTGAAGGCCGGATGCAGGGAAGCTCGGTGTCCTTGCAAGGGATTTGGGGTGCCTGAAGAGTGGAGCTCTGAAAGCCAGAAACGGTGGGAAGAGATGAGGAGGGGTTAATATCCGAATCCCACCCCAGTTCCTGAGGCCGGAGTGTCTGCCTTTGGCGCCACCTAGCGACCACCGCCCTCAAACAGAGAGCGGACTACACTCAGCGAGGGTCCGCAGCCCTAGAAAGGCCGGTTCCCGCGGGGCGCCCAAGCGGGCGCCCAGCTTGGAGAACCCGGACCGTGGAGCCCAGGGAAGAGCAAATCTCTGGATTCGGGCAGATCCCACGACATTCGCGAAACCCCTCAGCCGGTGCACCCAGCCCCTCACTGCGGCAGATGCGGGGAGGGTACACAGAGGGATGCTAGGNCGCCTCAGGTGAGTCTCCCGTCCCGCTCGGGACCCTCCCCCGGCCCGCGGCCCCTTCCGCGTCCGGGGCCCAGTGCCTTCCCAGAGGGATCCAGGCCCCTAAAACGGACGCCCACTGCGCCCCCAGGCCTGCCCAGAGACGCTGCCCCCTGGCACCCAACATTCATCCTTAACTCTAAGCTCGCTGCCGAAGACTTAGGGTCGCCCGCACGGGAGCCGGCACCTCGAAGGGCTGGCCGCTGCCTCTGCTCTCGATTTCCCGTGGGGACCCCCGAGCGCCCCTTGCCCCGTTAGTCCTCAAGTCTGAGGCCACTGGAAGACGCCCCCTGCTTAGGGCGGAACCCGGGCTGCGCAGGTTCCTGGAGCCCGGCTCTCATCCCCCACCCCGCCAATCCCGGGACCCCAGCTCCCGTGGGAAGCGCCCATGGGAAGCCCCCTGCCAGGCCCAGGCATCCCCCTCCCTCGGGGACTCCGTCTCTATTTTGAGGGAAGGGGAGGCTCAGCGGAAGCCCCGAGTTATAATTAGCCCCACTCGGGTTTCCTAGATCATCTCACCACCACCACCACCCCAGCTCAGGGCGCCGGGGGCTAGGTGAGGGGTGACCGNCCACCGCGCGCGCGCACGCACGCCCTGACGCTCGACCGCGCTGGCCAGTCACCCGAGCAGCCGGCCTCCGGCTCTCCAGCGGGCGGCCCCTAGAGAGCAGGGCAACTTCGCGCGGCGCNTGTCACTTTTCCGCCCTCACCTCGAGTGTGAGACGCCGCGCGGCCGCCCTTTCCCATGGGTGAGCCCCTGGAGGGTGGGACTGGGTGGTCGGTTTGGCCTCGGCCCCTCGGAACAGACCGGGGGCACCCGGGCCTGGCCGCTCCCACCTGCCCGCCACGGCGGCCAATGAGAGCCTGGCCTAGTGATGTCATGTCCCTACCAGACCCTGGTGACGAAAGTCCGAGGTCACCCGTCAGGGAACCAGCGCAACCCACCCGCGGGGGTTCCGGAAGTTTCCACTGCGGCGGCGGAGTGCGGCCTCGCACCGCACCCTTGTGCATGCCACCACTTTGGCCTTCCCTCTAGGGTGTTCCCGAGTCACTTCTCCCCCCCACTCTGTCTCCTTTATGGGGGTCCCCTTCATTTCCACTCGTGATTTCATGTTCACATTTTCATTTCCACAGGTGTGCCCTCGTCCCCAAGAGAGTCCCATGTCACCTTTTCTTCACCAGGGCCTCCTGGTCCTCTGAGGGTGCCCCCTCATGCCATCCCTGCTGTGTCCTGGCCAGGGATACTCATTTATTCGTGCCCCAGCCCCGACCAAGGCTGTCACCATGTCTGACAGTGTCCGTCAGTCTGTGAATGCCTGTCACTGCGTTTGTCTGTGGCTGTCAATGCTTGAGACCGTCGGTCTGCCTGTCTGTCTCCGCGGGCTTCTGTTCGTCTGTCACTGTGGGTGTCTGCTTTGCCACTGCGGGTCTTTTGGTCGTGTGTGTCACTGAGTGTCTGTCCGTCTGTCGGCGTCTGTCACTGGCGTCCCTCTGGGCCCCGGGGTCTCGGTCTAGGCTCCAAGGGGGGGAGGAGGCGGCAGCCCCGGGCTGTG